TTCTTTATCTTATAGAAACTACATTGAAAGGGTTTCAGTCTTCCTGGTGCTTTTTATTAAAGTATCACTTCGCAGGATATTGCAATATTTGAGCTAAAGTTGAGCATTTTTATGACTTATTTGTTTTTCAGCCAATTTATCAGTCCTTGAAAACATTATCAACATACAGAATAATATTTATTTACTTTTGCTTTTATTATAACACATTCTAAAATTAGAATTCATGCAAAAAAGCTGTCATTTTACCATGGTTAATTATCATAAAAAAAATGTAGAATTAATTAGGTTTAACGACCACATGTTGTGGGTTCATTCGCCCAAAGACTAATAGTATTTTTTTCCGAAATAATTACTTTTAAATTAATTATCAACATCTAGAATTTTCAGACTTATTTATTATTACACTCGTAAATTAACCTGCCCAAGTAACTATAAAAATGTAGATAAAAATTTTTACTCCCCTACCTTTTGGTCATTGATTATTGGAGGGTCTTTCCCAACAATTATTGATCCAGTATTTTCAACCAAGCACAGCTGTTTCACGATGCATATTGTATTACCTTGTACATATATTACTATACCTTTCCCCAACTTGAACTGTTCACTGTCCAGCCATCGGTCTCGATATCTCGATCACAGAACAAGACTTGTGTTTGGTTCGTGTCTTGGATGCATTTATTTTCACGTATTTGTCTGCTCACACGTGTCTATTAGTTGCTCATTCCCGTATCACCATACATCCGGGTCGATGTAATATGCAACATCATGTCCATGTAACATAGCATTAATTTTTTAAGCCGATTAGACACTATAATTCTCTGTTGGTGCAGCTGTTCTTGCTATAAATCCAGTTGTTATAATTTTAGCGGCTGTCTTCAATTAAGTAAATAATTTATATTTATTTCTTTGTAATTAAGATTATTATTCATTTACCAATTCATTAAGCTTTATTAATATGAGTTTAATTATTTTCACATTAATTTGATTACTAAATAGAAATAGTTTGAATAGAAGCATTTCTTATGATGAACATAATATTTATTTTTAGAGATGAGTTTCTTTATTGAAAAAAATATAATCTGAATGTTATTGAAAGCTTTATTGATTGCAAAATTGATCAATAGATTTATTATTTTTATAATAAACAATTGTGAAGTGAAAAAAAAATTTTATGAAACAATGACTTACGGCAAAATTTTTGTCTTTAAATATAAGTCAATTTACGTAATCATGAAGAATTATTATTCTTACTCATTTAATTATTTAATATGTTCAATAACATTGATAAGAATATTATTGCTAAATATGGTTTTTTTTAAATGCAAATGGTGGAATTTTAATTTGTATGTAAAAAAAAGGAACAAAAATTTCTGATAATATTAATTATTAAGGAAATGTTTGCTTTTAATTTTGAATTGTGGTAAAAGCAATGAGAAGACACAGAAGGCCGCGACATGTTTCCCAGAACAGCAAAATGAAACGTCACGACGATTATATACTTTGACGAGGTTGAGGTTTGACTCTCTCACATTGACAAGGTCGTATGCATGTGATTGCTCTAGTCACAAATTGAGTTTTAAGTTCACGGAATGAAAAATTATGTACAGAGGAATTTAATGAATTCAAGGTTCATACCATATAATTACTATGATGTATCTATTTCTTCCCTGAAGTTCATCTTGGTTGTTGTTTTAAAACCAACTCAAACTTCAATAGCTCATTAATATTAAATCGACTTTAATGACATTTAATGCTCATTTCTGGTTGTTCTGTATATACTTTAGCAATTTTCCTTGCTGTTACCATCAAATGTGTATTTGAAAAATTACTCCAAAAGATATGAACATTTATTTTCAGTAAAGTTTAGTAAACCAAACGTGTTTTGTGATGACAATAAATTATTTATAACAGTAAATTAAAAAATAAAACTGGATGAATGTTATTATAATATTTAATTTGCATAATTATTTTTAATACTCAAATCTTCCATGACAAATTTAAAATTTTTCATAATGCACTCATTCTTCTTCACAGATAAAATAATCCCACATGATATTTTGAATCCTAAATAAATAATACTCCAAAAAATATCTCATGAATTTTTCTAACCATGTAAAGTATTTCCCGTAGGGTTAAAATTAATATTCCTTTTTTTTTAAAGCGCGATTACATGGATATCAAGTATCTCTTTGTAAAAAAAAAAAGTCTGTTCAATCTTTATGCAAGACTCGTATCCCCATGGTTGGGGCTACCCACAAACATTCGATTAACCCCACAAGCTTTCCTTGGACTCTCTACCAAGTCTGTAGGGACAGTGGTAATACTCACTGAACGGACGTTCATTAGAATGTTCTCTTTGTTGTCATGAACAAAAGACGAAGACGATTCTTTCAAGTTGCCTGCAGACGCATGAACTTTGTTTAATTCACCGTAAAATATCCATAGTCTATTTGTTCTTTATTTTATTGGTATATTGCAGTCTTTATTTTCTATGAAGAGATCGTTAAAAAATCGTTAAGATACACTCAGATCTTATGAGTGATAAAAAAGGTTAAGGGACCGTTCAATTTAACTTGGGTCATATTGACTTATTTTCCTGTCAGTTTGTAAACAAAAATATATAAATTACTTTTTTTCATGTTACCAAAAGAATTTTAGTATTAAATAAACCTTCTAAAGGCAATTGATTGTATCTTTGTTGACAAGTAGTACAGACTATAATTAGGGGATATTTAGATTAGTATTATGAGTTCTTTAAATGGTCAAATAAGACACTCAACGTCACTTTAAATGGTTTCTGCCTATTAAGCAGTATCGGTCACACTAATGAGAGCTGTCTATAACCTTATATTCCCTAAATTTATCATTAATTAGTAGCTTTTCTAGCTTATGTTTGACAAGAATTGACTAAAAAGTAGTTTATAACAAAGACATTAATTTATTTTTCATTGTTTCAATAATTTGTTTTTAAAAATCAATAGAAATAATTATCAACAGTGGTTGATTTATATAAGAAAAATGTTGCTGATTTTTTAATTATAAAAATATTTCAATGATTATTATTATTTTTTTTTTTATTTAGTATCATTGTTAAAAAATGTTTGAATTGTTTGTGAACATTGACCTATAAATCATAACAGATAGCAAAGACAAGTTATAAATAATAAAAAACAATTCTTTCAATGACTAATACAAAAGAAGAGTCAAATATTTGTTTACACTCAAGGACTTTAGAGATTCAATTGAATGTAAATTTAACAAAAAAAAAAAATAAAAAGGAGCATAACAAGTAGTAGCTTTCTTTAAGTGAGTCATTTGCGAAAAATTTGTGTCCACCCACCCTTTTTTGGGCTCCAAAATAAGGTCGTAAATAAGCCAGCTGTTGAAAGAATAAGTTTCCAATTCAATTGTGATCGACCCCTACCGTGAATATTTACCTTTTTTCACTGCTACATCTTTTCTATAAGACACGAATATTGAGATGAAAATTTTAATGTTGTTTTAGTAGATAAAAATCAAAATGAAGTTATAAAATCATTTTTCATCCTCACTTCATTTGAGTTTAGTTTTTAGTGAGTCATCTATTTTTTTGATATTGAATATCAATGATGTTTAATGAAGAATTGAGACTATATAATAATATCATAAAGGAGGGAATAAAAAAGATTCTTTTATTGTAAACAATGACATTGATACAATAAGTCTGATCTTTGCACAGGTGCAATGAACGCGTTATATACAGTTTGTTGAAGAAAAAAAAATTACACACATGTATCATTTTAATCATTTTAGAAACAAAGAAAATAAATGATATGAGAGAAATATTGTATGTACACGTGTTGGGGGATTTCCCATCGGAAATAGACATACGAATCACGTGAAGAGAATAACCACTGATGATTCTAGTGCTCTCGTCTGGACAACATCAGAATTCAGGTCTTTAACCTGGCAATTGCATCGATGAGCAAAAAATCCTATCCTCGAATCACAAGAGAAATATTAGCTAAGGTTCAAAACCTTTCTATAAATGTGATCAAACTTTGCAAATTGAACATCTGGATGATGGTGATGAAATGTGTACAATAACATGTATTTTTAGTGTCTTCCGTAATTCAAAGCATTTATTTGCGCAATTGACATTGAGTTTCATTATCTTACATTGCGGCCAGGTATGTTGGAGCTAGGTATTCAGCTGCTTCATTTTTGGCTTTAGGCTTATCGGTTTATTACTTTATTTTCTTGGAATGTTTTAACATTTATTTTTAGGTCGACGCAAATTATGGATCACAAAAATGAACGTAGATGAGGGGTTTTTTGTGTTTTTTTTAGAATAAATTATAAATTGCAAATTTAATCAAGTATTTCGTGGAATTCATTTAATCTTCTCATTATATTTAATATCTAGATTTAATCACAAAAATATTTATCATTTAATTGTTTTATCATATCCATAAAATGATGCAATGTTAAAATTATTTCAACAGTACTTTTAAACATTATTCCCCGTGATTTATTTAAAACTGATTTATATGCTCTGAAAGCTCAATTACCCTTTGATATTTGAGAAGCAATAATATCATTGATAATGTAAATAAATAATGTCATAATTAATTTAAATCAAAATTCCGTTATTAGTAAGTAGAAATAAACATTATAAAGTGTCAAAGTAATGTTAATATATTGCAAATATTTTTTTTTATTGATCCACAGAAAGGATGTTAATGACGGGAAATAAACGAGTATTTCAGAGAATTTTCGTGGGATTTCAAATTAAATTTCTCCGGTAGTCCATTCTCTTTAGAATATTACTTATCGCGAAAATCAAGTAATCAGGATGACGTCATTTTACAGGCGTACGACGACATCTCAACATGTATCTACCGGTTCAAATTGCTGCGCGCGTGTCTCGTTTTCTACAATACGCACTGTTGATTGGACCAATAGTGGTGGGAGGTCGCTGTTGTCGAGCGGTTCTGTATCTATATAGTTTCACAGTCACGTTGGCGCGTTCAGTTAACAGTGGACATCAGACATAAACTTTTCTTGAGAACTTATAGTTTACGTACTTAATAATTGTCTGACAGTTTCATTGAATTAGTCAAGTTTATACTTGGTTTTTTAAAATAACTCTTTTGATTATTTTTATTCAGTGAAGATTCGTATAATAAGCTCGAATGGACTCGGTCGCGTGGGACTTTGTCTGTGATTCTATTAACGGACAATCCATGTCACAACGTGTTCCCAACACGGGGTTATACGACGTAATGGTTGAAGATCATGGATATTATACATCCCCAACATTATATCCAAATCCTCTTGGATTAGATTCATGGCAATTAACTAAAGAAGAAAATGCTGTGGTAAGCACATTCAATTGTATTCTATAAAATTGTTGAGATTTTTTAAAAGAGACAATTATTGAATATTAATTGTAGATTAAAAATTTACATGAAGTGTTTGGAATTTATATTTCATGGATTTTGAAGTCAAGTTTGTCATTTTAATTAAGCTTATGTAAATTATAATATCGTTTGTTCATATATATTCAGTGTCACTACGTTAATTTAACCTAAATTTCTGTAGTGATTGCAATAATGACAGTTTGTGTTTGTTTATGAGTTAAAAATATACTAATTTTGAATTGAATTCATTATAAGAATTAACTATAAATAAAAGTTTTCAACTTTTCGTTATTGAAAAGTATTGTTATTATTAATACTAATGAAAGAGTAATTTTAGTTTTGTGGTCATTAAGTTCAGGTGAAAATTAAGAGATATAAGTCAATGACTTTTTAAATAATTTATTTATGCGTTAATTATATACTTTGACCGAAAAATCTCAAAAAATTATTATATTCATTCGTTTATAAATTTTAATAATTAATTGAAAAATAAAATTAACATTAATTACTCCAATTAGTTGCTCTAATTTGTAAAAGTTAAATGAATAAAATGTTTCTGACTTTTGCAAAACGTGATAAATTTCTAGAATAATCGAAATTTAATAATTCATAAAAAAAACCTTCAGGACTTGATGTTCTTTGCTGTTGAAAGTGAAATTAATTTATCGTGAATATAATTGACTTCAAAGTGTCTGAGGTTAAAATTTGCAAAAGTCAAAATTCTTATTGCAGTAAATATTAAATACATTTATTATTTATTCAACAATATAAAATTTATTATTAACAAAAAAAAAATTGAATAAAAATTCATATGACATTAAATAAAAATAATTAAAAAAAACATAAATTTTATTAAAGTAACTTTATAAAAAAAATTCAGATAAAAGCATCAATTTCCTTCTCTTGATTCTTCTCTCAATGTTTATATCTTCCCACTCGTTATATAATCGTTCCTTTGTCACTCTTTCTTTTTCTGCTCTTCCCATTCTGTCTATTCATACTCGGTACATATTCGATTACGTTTGATTCTCAGATATCATACTAATTGAATACAATACCAATATTAAAAAAGTTAAGAATTACCGACTTAAAAACACGTAATAAAAAATAAATTTAACGTTAACATATAATAAAAAGATAAAGGCTCATAAAATAGATAAAAATACTCATTGTAGACAACAAGATTAATCTTGAAGAAATGCCGATGAGAGCGACTTGGAACGAGTTGAATTGAGAAACCGAAGGAAAACGTTGAAATCTGACAGGAAGCGAGAAGTTAACGCTCGTTAACCCGTCAATTAGAGGGTTTAGTTGAACGGAGCAGGGTTAAGTTTAGCCGGGAGATGCTTGAACATGTCATAAGCCAAAAGGTGCCATCCTGTACATCTTGTCTTAAGAATTATCTTGTCTTGAATTAAAGCATTAATCAACTTGTTTCTTCATCAAAATTTCCTTTTAAATAACCTTCTTATCACTTGTCATAGAGGAAGAGAAAAATATATTTTTCACACATTTATCATATTTTTCGTCACAATTTTTATGCAGTCATCGTAGATTTTGATAAATTTGCTCCTTATAATTTATTAATCAAGTGACACACGCGACTCGCGTGCTCAAAAGCCACGTCAGTGGCAAACAAAAAGGGAAAGAGAAACAAGAGAGAAACAAATATGATGCGTTTAAACTTGACCAATTCATGCTTGTGTGCTTGTGAGTGAGATCGACGATGATTAAGATTGTGTTAGTTTGATTTTCGTGGCGCTTACCTCAGATTCGCACGGCCTCTGAGTCATCACAGCTCGATTTATGAATGAAAATCTACGTTACACCTCTACAAAGTCTAGTTGACGTCGTTGCTCCTCTCTCTTTGCCCCTCCCAATCTACGTACGATTTGATTTACTGAACCTGTTGGGTACGGAAGTAAACGATTCGTCATTGCAAGTTTCTTCAATGACTTCACGCTTTATATATTGTAGATGTAATACTTGTGTTTTACAAATCATCAGAATAAATGTTCTATTGATATTTACATTTAATTAAAAGAGGATAAGATAACGAGATTTTTGTTATGAAGTATTTTTTATTTTTTTTTTCATGTTTTACTTTAAAGTTTGGGAATCCCAATGACGTCAAGCTTGACACCATTACAAAACTGGAAATGTTTCATGTATGTGTGTGGAAAAAGATTATCTTTCTCTTTTGCTTTTTTTCCATTAAATGACGTCAGTAACGTCTGATTAACTTTCGCCAAGATGTTTAAATTGCTATCGAAACCGGATTTTAATTTCTATCAATGTTTTACCACTACGCAATATCGCGGTATTTTCGAGATCCAGATTTCCACGAAATCAATATTTGACTTCTTTATCGGCTTTGTGTTTTAGGAACAGTGTTGTAACCTGTTTTAACAAGTCTTGACAGGAAGAAGCACGTTAGTTACCATATAGGCTTACTTGTAATATCAGTATGATTATTTGGCAATAATCCTAAGGTGTTTTTGGGATATTTGTTTAGCACCATCCACTTTATGACACTTAGATCATTCTTTTTTTTTGTTAAATTTACGTAATAGATGTTTGAAAACAAATTTATCAGTTCTTGCAATCATTTGTTTAAATTAAAATACAATTAAATCTCTGTAAAGTAGATTATTTAGATTAATTTTTAAAATTCAACTCTTAAGTATTTAAATTTATGTACATATTATTTTTTTTTTTAATAATAACTTCAAGATTGATATTGAGTAAAAAATAGAATAATCAACGGATTATTTATGATTTGGATGATAATAATAATTGAAAAAAGTTAAAAAAGGTTTCTCTTTCGCTATGGTCAATTTTTCTTCAACAATATTATTAATGTTGGGTGCACTTGGGTGTTTTATTTTTTTGTTATGGAAAAAAATAATAAATGTGAGTAAGTTTATTGTGGATTTATAAATTTTCAACGAGAATTTCATGGTGAATGAATAGACTTAAATAGGTGATACATCAAAAATATCAAGTGGACTCTTTAAAAAAAAAAAAAAAGTAAAAATGAATGTCAAAGAAAGATAATAAATGAGGTTGAGACCTGTTTTATTCTTAAAAAAAGGGTGTTATGATAATTTCTAATAGCAATGAGAATAGGGGGTTTTTCAAACTGACTGAAAAATGACAAAAGATTTTTCTTTTCTTATTAGAATATTTTTGAAGACGAGGGTGATGATAAAAGAAGGCGAGAAAACTGATCTGAGATGAAAGACTCCAATCCAATAGAAAATTCCAAAGTAGACAACCGCAAGGTTTAAGTTGGTTGCTTTGGTCTCTTTAGGGCACACGTGTGTGTCTCGAATACGGGAGGTCGAGGAGACGCTTTTATACGCGCGATTATATTATATGGCCTTCTCTCTATATACTCAAAAGAGGAGCTTGTCGAAGAGTGCAGCATGCTCGTCGGAAATGCCTTCATAGTTGCGTCAGAACTAAGGAATTTACAGACCGTTGAGACGAGATCGTCCTGGAACGAAGATAAATTCAATTAAAAATAAAAAAAAAATTTAATTTACTTTGTTCTATTCTATTTCTTTATTGCATTTTCTTATTTAGATCTTCGCCTTGTCCACTTATGATTACTGTTATTAAACATTTGTGACGTCTTTGAAAATTATATTTAATTAAAATATTTCTTTGTTCTTTTTTTAATCATCTAATTTATAATCTTATTTTAAAGATAATTTATCTTAAAATTTATTAAACTCTTTTTAGTGTATGTTAAACTGTGATGTCCCTCTTACTCTTAATTCAATTTGGCTCCTTTTCAAAAATTCCATTGATTTAACGAGAGAAAAAAGTCCTTGAAAAATATCGGTAAATATACACGCAGTTAATCTCTTTCTTAGATTAGTCGTGTAAGGAATAACAGATTTTCTATTTAATTTTCCAAGATGTGCTCCAAAAATTAAATTACATTATAATATGCTCATTTATATGATGTTGACTTGGTATTATTAAAATGTCAAGTTTTCCCACATAAGATATGATTGTCATTGAGCATTCCTGATGGATAAAAGGATGTGAGAAAATACATATTCCATCACGATGAATAAAAAAAAAAAAAAAAATATTGAGAAGGCCATAGCCGTGCCTTATAGGTTGCGTTTTACATTTTACCTGAGAAATGAAAGGCTCTTCGTTTACTGGGAATTACCTGGCGTTGATCGCGCATATTCAATTCTCAGTATCATGAGTATCTAGCCCACTACCATATAATATCAGATTTGATGTACCGGAAAGACTCGGACTCGATAGTGATGACGTGAATAGTCGGATTTTCCTGGTAGCAATTGCGCGATGTTGCGTGTAAGATTATTATTATTTTTTTAATCTCATTTTTTATTGTATTTTTTTTTTTGCCTTCAACATATCTCTCTCATTTTCTCATTAACAAATCATTTAATAAAGTTGTCAATAATTTATAGAAATTTCACATTAATTCTGTTCTATTTTTCAATGAAATATTTTTGAAATTTTAATTAAATAAGTGGAATTTCTTTTATTGGATTAAAAAAATTCTTTATTCGCACGTCGCGATATCTACAATCCTCCCAGTTGCAGAGGGAGTCCCGAGTGATGTCGGAAATACCCGAAGTATGAGATTCGCCGGCCGATCGACCATGTGGTGATAGCATGATGACAAAAGCACTGTCAGTGTCATTCGACGCGCTGTCGCGTGCGGGTCGTATTCTATATCATTTTTCTATCACTTAAATACTCTAATTATCGTCATAGTTGTTTATTAACAAATATATTTATTAGATAATTGCACGTAGTACTTAATTGGTATCATTGTTTGAGGAATAAATCCAAGTTGAAAAGAGAGTAAAGGATTAGAACGGAGAAAAAATTCATCGAAACTCAGGGAAAAAATTTTTCCATCGGGTAAGTCTTGACAAATTCCATCTACGGATGGTTTTAAA